ACAGAGTGAGACTCTGTCTCAAAAAAAAAAAAAATGAGGGCGCAAGGGAGCCCACCAAGAGCTGACACACGCACCGGGCGCACCCTGCGGTGACCGGAATCGCGGGGCTCCGGGACCCGCGGGGGTCGGAGTCCGGGCCCACTCCCTGGGCTGGCGGTGGACCTGGCTGACTCATTTCGGTCCGCTGAGCTCACTTTGAGGGGAGTTGGAGTTCGCCTGGCCACTTAGGCCTGGACTCAGGGTTCTGCGTAAGTTACACCCCTGGTCAGATGGTAGCACTCCCATCTTATTCAAGATCCTGTTTGAAAATTACTGGGGCAGAAACTAGGAGGTAATTAAAAGGCCTCAAAAATCCCGCCTCATTCCATCCACAGAGAAAACTAATGAGGTGTTTGTTTTTTGTTTTTTTGAGACGAGGACTCGCTCCGTTGCCCAATCTGGTCTCGAACTCCTGCAGGCTCAAGGGATCCTCCTGCCTCAGCCTCCTGAGTAGCTCGGACTAAAGACCCGTATCACGGTTCCTGGCCAATGAGTTTTTACTTCATTTACTGTTTGAACACTGTTCTGGTCAATCTACTTATGGCATGAACTAGGCCCTGATGGAGGAGGCGGGGAAGATACTGCAGAAGTAGTCTATATTGTTCTTGCCCTTTAGCAAAAAATAGTTTATCTGGGAAGCAAGCATAATTACATAAAATAGACAATACATAGTCAGTTTTGCCTGCTTCCTTCTCTGTAAAATAGTTTATCTGGGAAGCAAACATAATTACCTAAAATAGACAATACATAGCTTTGCCTGCTTCCTTCTCTGTAAAATGAGAGAACAGGACAAAGGTCCCTCAGAGTTACTGTGCTGCTAAGGATCAGTATCTGAATGATGATCTACTGATACAGCACAAGCTAAGGAAATCCTGAGGATTTCAAAATAGGTATTATGGAGTAGGTCATGTCTCTTTTCATACCCCTTCACTCCCACGTCCTAATCTCCATATATCCTTCAAGATTTTACTCAGAGCCTCTTTTTGGCTCCCTCAGATAAAACACCATTTCATCTTTCGCCTGTGTGTTGCCCAGAGTTGCTTTTGCTCCTCTGATTGGTTTCCTCCCTTATCTATTCCTCTCATCAGTGATTTCACATCTCCCCAAGAGCTCCAACGCTGTTTCAAGGTCATACACTATATTTGCATCATCTTCCTTGTAATCTGCAGCCTTCCCCCATGGTATGTCCTCTGAATGCTCTGGGAAGGCCCAATTCACTGAAAACCTCTGTCCAAGTCAAGGAGGGGTGCTGTGCAACACATATCCCTACTCTGGTTCATCTTATCTGATCTGTTTATTGAGCCAAGATTCCTATCACTTCCTTCCTTCTCCCTAGACTGTTACCAGCCCTACTCCCAACCATCTCATAGCCTAAAATGTTGATTTTATCATTTGTCTATTTCTTTCTGGAGAGATCTTAAGGGATCAACACAAGTGAAGTGGAATAAAGGCAGGGAGTTGGGGGTGGGGGGATGGTTCAGGCAACACTGGAGTTCAACCAATTCATAGCCTCCATTTATTGAGACCACAAATCCTTGTAAAAGAGACCGAGTCTTTTAACGTCACAGGCCATGTTTGGCATAAAAATGGGGTCTCTAAATGTTCAACATTAACAAAGCAAACAGAAAAAAAAAGAACAAAACCCGGAAGTTTCTAAAAATAAAAACGCCTGCTAGTCACTGAAATTCCAGCAGATGGCAACCATCTCTGTTCACCAATATCATGACTGAAAGCTACAGGAGCAAATTTTCTGTAATTGACACAGGAAAGGAGGAAATCAGGTAGGCAGAGGACAAAAGTGGTTTTCTATCCACCTTTTTGGAGAAATATATATCTACGTTTGTCCAAAAACCAGGATTTGTTTTCCAAAAGCTAAACACAATTGTAGTGCACTTAAAAAAACCTGAGTCAGAAACAGCTGGATTCCTATTCCAAAATGATTTATTAGTTTTAAGAATTCAGGCCGGGCGCGGTGGCTCGTGCCTGTAACCCCAGCACTTTGGGAGGCCAAGGTGGGCAGATCACAAGGTCAGGAGTTCAAGACCAGCCTGGCCAATATGGTGAAACCCCGTCTCTACCAAAAAGACAAAAATTAGTCAGGTGTGGTGGCGGACGCCTGTAGTCCCAGCTACTCAGGAGGCTGAGGCAGGGGAATCACTTGAACCTGGGAGGCGGAGGTTGCAGTGAGCTGAGATTGCGCCACCGTACTCCAGTCTGGGCAACAGAGTGAGACTCTGTCTCAAAAAAAAAAAAAAT